AAGATTCTATATAAAATCTTAACTATCAGGTGATACTATACAGCTTTATTGTTTTCAGGCGACTAAAACACGTTAGCACTTGTTTACGTTCGTTGGTTATCAGTTGGTTAACATTGTAATTCAATACGTTAAAAATAAATACAAATAGGAAGTATATAAGAAATCTCCTGAATAAAAACTCATTACATGTATGTTTAAATATAAAAGTATAAAGCATAAACTCGTGCTAAACATGTAATTATTAAGAAACTACAGTGCGTCTAATAATTTGATCTAATTATTATAATGTACTAATATCATAAATATTCTATATTTATATAATATATCATTTAATTTATCCAATGGTTGAATTTATATTATACATAGTCTACTTTAAACAATTGATACACGAACGTAAATAAGTGCAAACCGGTTTCATTCGCGGAAAAACAAAAAAGTTGTATAGTATCACCTGATAATTAAGATTTTACATTAAATCTTATAGTGCATAAAATAATATGGCCAAGAATAGTATAAGAATTCTTACGTTAGAATTCTCATGCAGATACATTGTCATTTTTCTATTTAAGAAAAAAGTTCCTACTAATATTAACGTCCATTTACTACCATCGTTATACGATTTTAAGAACATTGAAAACAATGCTTTAATGCAAGAAAGTTTTAATGATGCAGGTCAGAGATACAGACCAGTAAGGGAAGTTGATACTACTCGGAAATCAATATTAGTGTTCATTAGGGAGAATAAATTAAAGGTGTTCGTTAGGGTTTGGTGATTAAGTTGTAGTGACGATTAGTGTAGTTGGCGACACACACGAAGACCAATGAAAGGTCTTCACAAAGAATTGGAGATCAGGAATACAAATCTGTAATTGCAGATGTGAAGCAAAGTTAATGGTCTAAGATTTCTTAGCAATATTCTTCATAGATGGCGCTAGCTTTGATTTAGATTTCACATAGAATTGGAGATCAGGAATACAAGTCTGTAATTGCAGATGTGAAGCAAATTTAATGGTCTAAGACTTCTTAGCAATATTCCTAATAGATGGCACTAGCTTTGATTTAGATTCCACATAGAATTGGAGATCAGGAATACAAATCTGTAATTGCAGATGTGAAGCAAATTTAATGGTCTAAGATTTCTTAGCAATATTCCTCATAGATGGCGCTAGCTTTGATTTAGACATCGCTGTTGGAAGCCACTGTTACTACATCTATATATTATCATTCAAATATCTCTTTTTTTTTAAAAAAAAAGAGGGAATGTAACTCAATTATTGAAGGACACTTTTAATTTACTCATTGATAAATCAATTCAAGAGACCGAACTTTTGATGAAACATTAGGAGAAAATAGCCTTCGTAGAGGGCTGTTTGATGGAGAATTAATAACCGTCGTTGAACAGCTGACCCAATTTTTGGGTTTACGACTACTAATGTTCAACTACGTAGCCTTGCAGTTTTGAACCCAATCCAGAAGACAAGGGAACTCCTGAATCAAGGGTTGGGAGAAATTTGCCTTCTTGGAGGACTTTTTCGATGGAAGTATCCCATACTTGGAGAGGAAGATCACGAGAACCTCCCATGGTTAGCTTGACGGCTAGGGGACTCTAACCCATGGTCCGTCTACCACTGAGGTCATTTCCTGTCAGCACTGTGGTCGATGCAAGCCGGATGAGGAATTCGTATCGGCTGGGATTCGAACCCGGCTCACCGCATTGGAAGATGAACGCTTTATCCCCTGAGCCACCAAAACTCGAAGTCTCCATAGTTTGAATTTAATGGTTCATCATTATTTAATAAATAGAAAAATCAATGGAAAATAATAAATTTACTGAAACTTCTTTAATTATGGCTTCGCGTAACACTTAAAAATAAACATCTCAAGGTGCTTGTTCTTAAGTTTTTATTTATAAGAAGCCGTTGAACTTTCGATTTAAATAAAAATTGCAGATTCTGTAAGAACTTGTAATCGAGCAAATAATCGCCGAAGGCAAACCAATCATTAAAGTTGCAATTGGGAGGCTATCAAAAATATAGCAATGCAAATATGGCAAAACATACCCGGATTTAGATCTTCAAATATACAATCAAAACCTTCCCTAAAGATATCTATGATTGGTTGAGAGTGTAGAAGCACAACACGTAATAAGCAAGTTTGTAAAGTTTAGTATTCTTTAAAATGTTTTTATTTCGATATAGAACATATTGCTCTCCCGATCTGGTAGACACTTATTGATTTAGTTGCTATATTTTGTTTTATTACAGTGCCGTTAAATTATTTCCGGCTTCCTGTTATTAGAGAAGTTAATTAAATACTTTACTGTATATTAAATACTGTAATCTCAAAAACCGGGTTTAATTACGTAGGAAAATAATTATGTCTAAATTTCGCGGAACTATGTCCTAACAGAAAACGTGTTAACTATTAAAATTCAAAAAATAAATCTCATTTAATTATCAAAATAAAATAAAAAATATTGCTAAAAGTGGATATTGATGAAATGGGTATTATCTAAGTTACATTAACTTTAAATATTAAAATTCTAATGAATTAGTAATGATTAAAATATTTTAAAAACACCATGAACAAGAGTGAGTCAAGAGGGCTCAGTCACTACACATGGATCCATCGAAAATTTACTCGCCAAGTGTTAAATTATTCTATAATTAACCTGCATCTTATTAACATTATTCGATTTATTAAGGTACTGTACATTTTTTTGTGAGTAGTTTTGTAGGTAGAGTGCAGGTAGGTGATACGTAAAAGTAGGTAATAGGAATTGAATAAGACTTTGAAGGGACAGTATCGAAGCTTTACACACGTTCTAGGAAAACAAACAATGTGTTAATCATATAATAATTATCACAACGTACCACTTGTACAGGTATGTATAGTTCTTGGAAATTACGTTTCCTTTCTAAGTAAAGTTTATTCATAGATACAATAACATTGTTAAATAAGTAATAGCTGTAATTAAATAATTAATAACAGCCGTAAGTAGTTTTGTAGGTAGAGTGCAGGCAGGTAATAGGTAAAAGTAGGTAATAGGAATAGAATAAGACTTTGAAGTGACAGTATCGAAGCTTTACACACGTTCTAGGAAAACAAACAATGTGTTAATCATATAATAATTATCACAGCGTACCACTTGTACAGGTATGTATAGTTCTTGGAAATTACGTTTCCTTTCTAAGTAAAGTTTATTCTTAGATACAATAACATTGTTAAATAAGTAATAGCTGTAATTAAATAATTAATAACAGCCGTAAGTAGTTTTGTAGGTAGAGTGCAGGCAGGTAATAGGTAAAAGTAAGTAATAGGAATAGAATAAGACTTTGAAGGGACAGTATCGAAGCTTTACACACGTTCTAGGAAAACAAACAATGTGTTAATCATATAATAATTATCACAACGTACCACTTGTACAGGTATGTATAGTTCTTGGAAATTACGTTTCCTTTCTAAGTAAAGTTTAGTCATAGATACAATAACATTGTTAAATAAGTAATAGCTGTAATTAAATAATTAATAACAGCCGTAAGTAGTTTTGTAGGTAGAGTGCAGGCAGGTAATAGGTTAAAGTAGGTAATAGGAATAGTCACACTATCAAAGCCTGGCATATGTTCTGGAAATTATGTTCTATTCATATAACGCAACCTATCAATTGCATGAAAATTTCTAGGAAATTACGTTGCAGTCATAGTTAAAGTTTATTCAATCCATAGACATGATTTATGACAATAACGCTTTATCCGTACCATTGACTTATGTTCTGAGACACGTTATAAGCTATATAATAGGGAGATTTCGCACTTTTACGTCAGCTTTCGTACGCAAGATTAAAGCAACTGCGCATGCTCGCGTTTATTTTAGATGCTACGTATCTCTACGTCACGTTGGCGTGATTTACGCTACAAAGGCAAAGCCACAAGCACGCTGTTTATAGTTGTTAAAAGTTGATTTTTGTTTAAGTTTACCTTCGAACTAAAAAAAACATGAGTATGGAATTCGAAGAAATGTATTGACGAAATTTAGAAATGAATCGTGTGATATTACAATTGGTTGATTCAATAAATAAATAATTTTATTGGTTTTTATTTAACATTATGTTTGTCCAATTGCACTAGTTCCATAAGAAACTAAAAACATTTCCCCTGTTTTGAAACTATAAATTCTATTTATTTTAACCATACAATTTAGTTGTTTAAAAATGATGTTCCATTACGTTAGATTCTTACAAACTCTCTTTTTTTCACTTACTAAGTAAGTTTGACATTTTTTTCACGGGAGCATGCGCATTTCACATTGTGCAGGCTCTCTTGAAGTGCGCATGCGCAGTGACTTGAAATCTTACGTACGGAAGCTAAAGCAAATTTGCGAAACCTCCCTAATAACAGTTTTGTACGCGATATTTTTTTGAGAAAAGTAACCTTAATCTGAAAATAACGTTAATTTGGAATCTACAGAATAGTAGCAACTTCATGATAGTCTACAAACGTTAACATGATAGTCGGAAACGTTACAATATTACGTTCAAAATTGTAATGACTTCAACAATTCTGTTCGTTCTCTGGTTATCATACAGGATTCGATGCTGAAGAATAGTGTGAAAAACGTTTTTCCCATGGCAACACCTACATTGGTAATGTTCTACAACTTTTTAACTCTATTTCCCAATTCTCATACCATTTTCAATGTAAAAATTTAACACCGTGGTTTCCTAGCAGATGGCGCTATAAGCAGTTACTATGCTTAGATAATACTTTTATAACTTTTGCTGCAGCCGTTTGAAAGTGAAGAGGATGAATACGGACTATCGAGCATATTACATACTGTCTCCGCAAAGAGTAACCCAACTTTTCTGATATTGAAGAAATAATCAAAGAGTGCAATAAAATAAAGTAAATCAAGCCAAGTAAAGCTTTATTTACCGTTTTATAAGAACAAATCTTACACCAGAATCTTAAGTAATAAAAAGAGCTATTGCTTCAATATCTCACCCGGTAGTCGATTCCAACCGTGGATATAAATACCCCGGACAGGAAAGCTCCATCTTTATATCTTACAAGCAGGCATGTCTTCCCAACTCCAGAATCGCCAACCAGCATCACCTGCAAAAGAAATAGCAAACATTACTCTTTGAGAAAGAAATTTGTGGCAACACTCAATCTATGTACCATGGCAATTGATGGTTGGAAAAAAAAAGAATTTTCCCAAGAGGACAAGATGCAGGAATTTTGTTCTAACATTCTATTTTCCGCTCTCTTAGCTTTGAAGTCAAAATAAAAAAGGTCTTAAAAGGTATGAAATGGATTTTTCTTTTTTTTTATTCTTCTTATCCAACTGAAAGGACATTTCATTTAATATAAAAGACGGTATGTTCACGCTCTTTGCCCCTTTGTAGCTCTTTCTTTTAATCTTCGGAAATCATTTTTTTCCACCATTTTGTTTTTTGTATTGATGTTTTTTATATTTTTTTAGTCTTTTTAATAAGGCATTTTATTGAAAAGGGGTATTATTGAACTTTTTAATGAGGTTTTTTTTCTATTACATATTCTTCAAATCAATTGCAATTTGTATCTGCTACATTTTATCTATGCTACAAAGTTGGAAGAAATGCTGTTTCTAGGGGGAGGGAATAGAGATGTGCATGAGCTTAGAGAAGTTTTTATTTTTAAATTCCTACTATTAATTCACACTCTCCCTATATCTTCTTGTTTAAATTGTCAATCGTTAATAAAATACTTTTTTATTCATCAACTAAAGTTCAAAAACATTTTTTTAAACTTGTAGTGAATGACACTTGAAGTTAATTCATTCTTTTCAAATATTAATTCATTCATTAAATAGGGATGAGCGAAAAACGAAATGGAATTTTCTAATGGATTAAGCGTTAGTCATTCTTTCCACTTTTACTATAAGCTATTCGGCTTTCACATATTTTAAGAATAACATCACTGATAATTTCTAACTTATAGCTCTATTTGAACAAAAAAATAGTTAATTGCACACATTTAAATATTTAATTATTTTACATTCGCTGTGTCAGATAAATTCAATAAAGTACATTATGTGGTAGCACGTGTGGCCCACGTCACCTCCAAACCACATTTCTGACGTCACCACCCCACAAGCCCATGTCACCACATTTCTGACCTCCAAAATATAGGGGGTGACGGCAACCTGAGAAATATGGCCTAATAGTTTGGTCAAGAAAGTGCTCCAAAGTGAGAAAGATAAATTATACCTCATTATCTTAGTTGGTTAAGCGATTTATCTTAACTGTATACGCGAGAGATAGGTATAAGTCTAAAATTATGTATACTTGTTTTTTTTAACCCAAAACCATAACTAAATCACTTTTTGTTGTCACGGTTATTTGCATAAAACTACATTAAATAATGCTCGTACAATTTATTTAGCATGCTTTATACATTTTCTTACAACAATTAATTTTTACCCCCAAAATTTCGAGGTTTATAAGTACCAGGAAGAGTTTTTTTTAAATATCTTTCATTGGTTACATGAGGTTTTTAAGTGGTGTGTCTCTTCGGTTTTATGCAACGGAAGACACATATAAAGTAACTTAACAAAATAAAGAAACTTAAACTAGAGTTGCTCTTTTTAATGTCTTTCGTTTGTTTCACGAGGTTTTTTATTGGTGTGTGTCAGGTTTTACGCAGCGGAAGAAACAACAAAATAAAGAAACTTAAATTAGAGTTGCTCTTTTTAATGTCTTTCGTTTGTTTCACGAGGTTTTTTATTGGTGTGTCTCAGGTTTTACGCAGCGGAAGAAACAACAAAATAAAGAAACTTAAATTAGAGTTGCTCTTTTTAATGTCTTTCGTTTGTTTCACGAGGTTTTTTATTGGTGTGTCTCAGGTTTTACGCAGCGGAAGAAACAACAAAATAAAGAAACTTAAATTAGAGTTGCTCTTTTTAATGTCTTTCGTTTGTTTCACGAGGTTTTTTATTGGTGTGTCTCAGGTTTTACGCAGCGGAAGAAACAACAAAATAAAGAAACTTAAATTAGAGTTGCTCTTTTTAATGTCTTTCGTTTGTTTCACGAGGTTTTTTATTGGTGTGTCTCAGGTTTTACGCAGCGGAAGAAACAACAAAATAAAGAAACTTAAATTAGAGTTGCTCTTTTTAATGTCTTTCGTTTGTTTCACGAGGTTTTTTATTGGTGTGTCTCAGGTTTTACGCAGCGGAAGAAACAACAAAATAAAGAAACTTAAATTAGAGTTGCTCTTTTTAATGTCTTTCGTTTGTTTCACGAGGTTTTTTATTGGTGTGTCTCAGGTTTTACGCAGCGGAAGAAACAACAAAATAAAGAAACTTAAATTAGAGTTGCTCTTTTTAATGTCTTTCGTTTGTTTCACGAGGTTTTTTATTGGTGTGTCTCAGGTTTTACGCAGCGGAAGAAACAACAAAATAAAGAAACTTAAATTAGAGTTGCTCTTTTTAATGTCTTTCGTTTGTTTCACGAGGTTTTTTATTGGTGTGTCTCAGGTTTTACGCAGCGGAAGAAACAACAAAATAAAGAAACTTAAATTAGAGTTGCTCTTTTTAATGTCTTTCGTTTGTTTCACGAGGTTTTTTATTGGTGTGTCTCAGGTTTTACGCAGCGGAAGAAACAACAAAATAAAGAAACTTAAATTAGAGTTGCTCTTTTTAATGTCTTTCGTTTGTTTCACGAGGTTTTTTATTGGTGTGTCTCAGGTTTTACGCAGCGGAAGAAACAACAAAATAAAGAAACTTAAATTAGAGTTGCTCTTTTTAATGTCTTTCGTTTGTTTCACGAGGTTTTTTATTGGTGTGTCTCAGGTTTTACGCAGCGGAAGAAACAACAAAATAAAGAAACTTAAATTAGAGTTGCTCTTTTTAATGTCTTTCGTTTGTTTCACGAGGTTTTTTATTGGTGTGTCTCAGGTTTTACGCAGCGGAAGAAACAACAAAATAAAGAAACTTAAATTAGAGTTGCTCTTTTTAATGTCTTTCGTTTGTTTCACGAGGTTTTTTATTGGTGTGTCTCAGGTTTTACGCAGCGGAAGAAACAACAAAATAAAGAAACTTAAATTAGAGTTGCTCTTTTTAATGTCTTTCGTTTGTTTCACGAGGTTTTTTATTGGTGTGTCTCAGGTTTTACGCAGCGGAAGAAACAACAAAATAAAGAAACTTAAATTAGAGTTGCTCTTTTTAATGTCTTTCGTTTGTTTCACGAGGTTTTTTATTGGTGTGTCTCAGGTTTTACGCAGCGGAAGAAACAACAAAATAAAGAAACTTAAATTAGAGTTGCTCTTTTTAATGTCTTTCGTTTGTTTCACGAGGTTTTTTATTGGTGTGTCTCAGGTTTTACGCAGCGGAAGAAACAACAAAATAAAGAAACTTAAATTAGAGTTGCTCTTTTTAATGTCTTTCGTTTGTTTCACGAGGTTTTTTATTGGTGTGTCTCAGGTTTTACGCAGCGGAAGAAACAACAAAATAAAGAAACTTAAATTAGAGTTGCTCTTTTTAATGTCTTTCGTTTGTTTCACGAGGTTTTTTATTGGTGTGTCTCAGGTTTTACGCAGCGGAAGAAACAACAAAATAAAGAAACTTAAATTAGAGTTGCTCTTTTTAATGTCTTTCGTTTGTTTCACGAGGTTTTTTATTGGTGTGTCTCAGGTTTTACGCAGCGGAAGAAACAACAAAATAAAGAAACTTAAATTAGAGTTGCTCTTTTTAATGTCTTTCGTTTGTTTCACGAGGTTTTTTATTGGTGTGTCTCAGGTTTTACGCAGCGGAAGAAACAACAAAATAAAGAAACTTAAATTAGAGTTGCTCTTTTTAATGTCTTTCGTTTGTTTCACGAGGTTTTTTATTGGTGTGTCTCAGGTTTTACGCAGCGGAAGAAACAACAAAATAAAGAAACTTAAATTAGAGTTGCTCTTTTTAATGTCTTTCGTTTGTTTCACGAGGTTTTTTATTGGTGTGTCTCAGGTTTTACGCAGCGGAAGAAACAACAAAATAAAGAAACTTAAATTAGAGTTGCTCTTTTTAATGTCTTTCGTTTGTTTCACGAGGTTTTTTATTGGTGTGTCTCAGGTTTTACGCAGCGGAAGAAACAACAAAATAAAGAAACTTAAATTAGAGTTGCTCTTTTTAATGTCTTTCGTTTGTTTCACGAGGTTTTTTATTGGTGTGTCTCAGGTTTTACGCAGCGGAAGAAACAACAAAATAAAGAAACTTAAATTAGAGTTGCTCTTTTTAATGTCTTTCGTTTGTTTCACGAGGTTTTTTATTGGTGTGTCTCAGGTTTTACGCAGCGGAAGAAACAACAAAATAAAGAAACTTAAATTAGAGTTGCTCTTTTTAATGTCTTTCGTTTGTTTCACGAGGTTTTTTATTGGTGTGTCTCAGGTTTTACGCAGCGGAAGAAACAACAAAATAAAGAAACTTAAATTAGAGTTGCTCTTTTTAATGTCTTTCGTTTGTTTCACGAGGTTTTTTATTGGTGTGTCTCAGGTTTTACGCAGCGGAAGAAACAACAAAATAAAGAAACTTAAATTAGAGTTGCTCTTTTTAATGTCTTTCGTTTGTTTCACGAGGTTTTTTATTGGTGTGTCTCAGGTTTTACGCAGCGGAAGAAACAACAAAATAAAGAAACTTAAATTAGAGTTGCTCTTTTTAATGTCTTTCGTTTGTTTCACGAGGTTTTTTATTGGTGTGTCTCAGGTTTTACGCAGCGGAAGAAACAACAAAATAAAGAAACTTAAATTAGAGTTGCTCTTTTTAATGTCTTTCGTTTGTTTCACGAGGTTTTTTATTGGTGTGTCTCAGGTTTTACGCAGCGGAAGAAACAACAAAATAAAGAAACTTAAATTAGAGTTGCTCTTTTTAATGTCTTTCGTTTGTTTCACGAGGTTTTTTATTGGTGTGTCTCAGGTTTTACGCAGCGGAAGAAACAACAAAATAAAGAAACTTAAATTAGAGTTGCTCTTTTTAATGTCTTTCGTTTGTTTCACGAGGTTTTTTATTGGTGTGTCTCAGGTTTTACGCAGCGGAAGAAACAACAAAATAAAGAAACTTAAATTAGAGTTGCTCTTTTTAATGTCTTTCGTTTGTTTCA